CGTTTAGGAGTGAGGGTGGGGGTTTTAGGAGTTGGGGTCGGGGTTTCGGGAGGGGGTTTGAGGTGTTAGGGTGAGTGCCTTGGGGTTAGGGTTGAGGAAGGTTGTTTTAGGAGTCAGGGTGAGCCTTGGGGGGTTGTGATTTGGGCTGTTGGGGTTCGGGATACGGGTTTGGGTTCAGGATTAAGCATAGTACTTCAAACTTGGGGGCGTCTGGCTTAGGACGTTCGGGCTTTCGGAGGAGGTACGGTTGAACTTCTGGTTTTCGGACTTTAGGGTGTTGTCTATGAGTCTTCTGTGCTTAGTGTTGAGAGTTTTGGACTGTTGGGTTGAAGATTTGGTGGCTTTTGGGCGTTAGTAAGAGCTTTAAAGGTCTGGGCTTTCGGTTTTGAGGTTCAGGCTTAGCTTGTGGGCTCGTAGGAAGTTCTGCTAAACCCCAACCCCTAAACCCAAATNNAACCCTAAATCCCTAAACCCTAATAAACCCCTAAACCCTCATCCCTAAACCCCAAACCCTAAACCCTAAACCCTAAGGACCCCTAAATCCCTAAACGGTGTTGGGCTGCTGCGCGGCGAAGTCTGAGCCTCGGAGGCTTAGGGCTTCGGGTGTTCGTATCGGCGGAAGTTTTGGGGGATCCCAGGCTTCAGCAAATTTTCGGGGAATAGTTACCTATACTATTTTGGGGGCTCCTTATTATATTTGTAGTATGATATACCCCCAAAACCCTATTCGTATTATTAAGTCCCTACATTACTTGAATGCTTTTGTTGGACTTGTTCCTTGAAGGAACCATTATGAAATAAAGTACTGGTGACTTCAAAGTCCAGCACAGTCCGTTTCCCTTTTCGGGTCGCCCTTTATTGTCCAAGAGGTTCAACAAGGGATCCAAAGCATAGAAGCTGTTCGTGACAGCAGCACAAGCCGGGCAAGAGCCCCCTGGCATCTCACATCATTGAGACTTTGGAGCACAGGAATCCCAAAGAAGCCTTGTAGGAACATATGAACCCTAAACCCTAAACTTCTGGATCCCTAAACCCTAAAGCCCTAAACTCCTGGATCCCTAAACCATCAACCCTAAACCGCCTAACTTAAAGTCGCTCCTTTCTCAGGTTTTTCCCGGTTGTCTACACGGTGTTCTCAGCAGCCCGGATCCCCAGCCGGAGCTTCTCGAAAGGAGCTCTTTGGATTCTCCAGGTGGGTTTTTAGGGCTCAGGGTTTGGGGCGTAGGATTTAGGCTGCGTTTTCGGGTCTGGCATCGTATTGGAGAGGTCTGAATAATTAGCAGCGAGTATTCTCTTTCGATCCCGCTATATAACTACAGTACAATAGACTCCCCAAACCCAATTCAAATCATGAGGGTCCTGAGACAACCCTATCATACCCACGCCATAAGGCTTCCACAAGGCTTCTCTTCAAGGGATTTTCATGAATTATACGGGTTCTGTAAGGACTTCGTTCACGGTTTTGTATATATATATATATATATGGTTTGTATATATATATATGTATATACTGGCTCTGTAAACGTTTCAAGACCTTTGCACCCAACTCGTCCTCTTGGGCTTGGAGTTCGGCAAAGCCTTTTCGGTTTGCGCTGTCCGTCGGACTGGCGATCCTTCTTAGCGGGCCATCAGCCCACCCCAAAGCATCAACACGGCCAAGAACAGCAACATGCTGTGGAAACCTGTGTATATAAATGCACATACATGTGGATATACATACGCATCTATGTATGAGTACATGTGTACAGATAAGTTGGGCTCAAGCAAATCATCCCACTATTCCTGAAGGCTTGGGGCCGGCAAAACCCCCGACCCTGGACTTCAATGCCCTACGGCCTAAATCCTAAAGGTGCGGAGCTATTGCAATGAGAATGCGGATTTCTTCGACATGGTCCAGCTTGGCATGACGCTGGAGGACAGGGGCCGGGTTCGAAGCTATAGAGTTTGAGAGCTGTTTCGCTGCAATCTGCTCCCTCAACCCTAGACTCTTAGCCTTAGATCGTTGTGCTGCAGGCGTTGATGAAGCTGGCAAGAAAGATGTGGGCGGCAGATGACCGCGTCAACAACGCCATGACACTGATCCTGAACAAGGCGCGGGTCTTCGATGTTGGCCGAGTGGTTCAACCATGGACCCCCAGGCTGCCAACTGTCGCCACAAGAAGTTCGAGTGTTTAGTAAAGCTTGTCTTGACATTCAACAACGAATGAATTTCAGAAGCTTCAGGATGCATGAAGAATCACATGGAAACCGTGCTTTGCAAAAACCCCAAACATCCACAAAGCCTGAACCACCCCTTTAGAAATAGAACCCCTACGAAATCGTATAAAGCCCTTATAGAAACAATATAAAGTCCTTGCATAGAACCCTAGCTGCGCGACTCGAGGCTTAGCAGTCGGTCGCCATGATCCTGAGATGGGTAGTTCGCCAGATTAGGGTAGAACTTTAGGTCCCCAATCTAGTACGGCACCCTTAAAAAAAAAACAAACGGGACCCTAAAAGGGACCATAATTTAGGAGAGCTACCCATCTACTCCCAAAGACTAGCCTTTGGTTCTCTTCGGATACTGGGCAAAAAAAGCAGGAGTTGTACGAGAAGGGCCGAGATCCGATCGACGGGCCGGCGGACATCATCGGCACGCTGGGGCTCAGAGAAACCTTCCAGGTGGGGCAGGATCGGCCCTAAATCCCCTAAACCCCGAAACCCTAAAGCATAAACCCTAAACCCTAAACCCTAATCCTTAAATCCCTAAACCCTAAACCCCTAAACCCCTAAACCCCTAAACCCTAAACCCTGGCTTCCCGTAAGGATTGCCATAAGGGGAGAAGGTTTCCTGCAAGGCTTCCAGGTTCCTAGAAGGGGCTTTTTTTTTTCTAGGGTTTAGGGTTTTAGGGGTTTGCTTAAAAAGGGTCGTAGAATAGTTGTCATGAGCTGAGGGCTATGATACTGCTTGCTGGCTCCACACCCACGGTTCCCGCAAGGGCTTTTCGGCGAGGGCTCTGTGCCAAAAAGGGGACTCCTTCAAGGGTGGACCTGTGTTCTCTAGGTTCTCAGGTATGGCCTTCTAGGGTTTGGATTCCAGGTTCACGGAGGAGTTCGGAGCTTGAGGTTTAGGGTTTCGGTGCCTTTAGAGGGGGCCTTCCAGAATAGTTGGAGCAGGGTTTCGGGGATCATACTATATATTGCAGAGGTCTCCTTTGCGTAGCTGCTGAGGCCCGTCGTTCAGCCAAGTTTCTCCGGCAAGCCAAGTTTCTAGACCAAGGCGAGGGCTCCCCTGAACGATTCTCCGAGTCGAAGCTGCTTCATAGCCCGGGGCTCCCCTAAAGCCGAAGCTCTACGCCCCAAAGCTTACGTGCACTTTGGGCTGCTATCCTTCTCCAGGCACCCTAGGACTCGGTTTAAACCCTAAAAACCCCTCCTAGAATTCTAGACCTTAAACGGTTTAGGGATCAGGGTTTAGGGATTAGGGTTTAGGGATTGGGGATTAGGGTTTAGGGTTTAGGGTCCATGAACTCTAGACCCTGGAGGTTAAAGCTCTCCACAGACCCGGCTGAGCTTCCCAATACCAGAATTGAAAGGTTAACCTTTTTTGGGCTAGGGTACTCTGCCCCTAAGTAACATTGAGCCCAACCACCAAAACCCTAAACCCCTGAACCCTAAACCCTGAACCCTATACCCTATAAGAGCCCTAAATGGCAGGTCATGGCTCATGCCGCCCTGGACATGCCCAAGGACGAGATGAAACACGTCGACGCCGTTTCTTCGATGGCGCCCGGCTCAGAAGTGGCAGGGATCCGGTTTAAAATGAGTTTGGGGGTTCGGTAGGTGTTAGGGTTCCGGTCTGAGCCGAGGATTTGCGAGGAGAATGTTGGCGTTAAGGTTCCGATTTGAGGATGTTTCAGCCGTTAGGGTTGCCATTTGGGAGTTTTGTTGGTGGGGAGGATAGGGAACTGAGGTGTGGGGGAAGTTTAGGAGTTGAGTATCTAATATAGGGGCCTGAATAGTTGCCTATACTATTTTGGGGTTCCATATTACATATTAATTCTGGTAGAATATCCCCCAAAACCCTATTCTAATTTTCAAGGCCCCCACATTAGCGTTCCCCTTTGCTCCCTGAAAAAGCCCGGGAAGCCTTAACACCAAGCCTCCTCGGCTGAACTTGGCGAAGAAAGTGGTGTCGTTCGTTAGGTTCTCCAGTAATTCGTACCCTTTTGCCCTTTCCCTTCTTGAGCTCCCTTAAAGGGCTCCCTTAAAGGGCTCCTTGAAAGGTTCTTTAAGGGATCTGTAGGATTTTACACCCTTTTGCTCTTTTCCTTTTGGGCTCCCTTATTCAAACCAAATAGTAGGAAAGGGGTACCCTTTCAGGGCTTGGGGGGCGGTTAGGGTTTAGCATGTAGGGCTACATTCCGAAGTCCCAAGACACGGGTCCATGTGAATCCAGCCAAACACTTCTAAACCTCCTGACCTCTAGATCCACCGCCTTGTTGTGAACTCCGGGCCCCGTCGGACAACACGCAAGGGCCAAGCCGTACAATCAAAAAACACCTTCCTTGACCCTAAACCCCGAACCCCTAAACCCCTAAACCCCAAACCCCTAAACCCCAAACCTTAACCCCTAAACCCTGACCCCTAAACCCTACACCCCTAAACCCTAAGCCCCATTTCCCGAATCTCTCTCAATAATCTCCATGCGTGAGGCCTGGGCTCTGGCTACTGCCAACGTCCCCTTGGCCTCCTTGCAGATCAAGGTGGGCGAGGGCTGCGGGGATTTGTGTGTTTTCTTTTGGTGGCGTGTCGGACAATGATGGTACTACAACAAGGGTTGCATAATGGTGCTATACTAGGGTTCCTTTGGAGGTTTGGGGGTGTCTAGGCTTCGAGGGGTTGAAAACTGGAGCGCAAGAAGTCGGGCTTTTAGTTCGAGGGTCCAGTGACGGTAAAGGCTGTTAGGCCATTAGTATCTTAATCGTGAACATGATCCCTAAACCCTAAACTCCTAAATCCTAAACGCTAAATCCCTCCACCATTGAAGCATGCTCCACGGTTTCAGGAGCCTCTCCACTTGCAAGCAGAACGCCTGGCCTCTAAACCGTAGACATGGTATAGGGCCTGATTCATGAAGAATACTACCCCTTAGGGCTCCCTAAGCTTTTTTAGTAGAGATACCCCCAAGACCGAAGGGGGCCATTATTATTAACATTCCAGGCGTCTTGATGAATCCTTAAGCTCGGTACTTCAAACCCAACATCCTCCGAACCCTGAAACTCACCCCGAAACCCAAATGCCCTAAACCCAACCACCCGAGACCTCCGTGCAGGTTGCCAAAGGCATACTCGCTAACATCGACAAGGCCGCCTTAGTCACGTTAGTCGGCGTATGAGTATCTTAGGTAAACAAACTACAAAGGATGATACTCGGGTTATTGCTATGTTATAGCATGTGCCAATGTATAGTTTTTAAGCTAACTAAGGTTTGGGGATTTCGGGCTGTAGGATTACGGGCACAAGGCATAGACATTGTCCGCCTTTGCTGTGCATCCGTCTCTGGGACACAACTTTGCGATTACCTCGACAAGTACTGCCTACAATCTCCACGGGATTGCCTAGCAGCCTATTTGGGGTTTACCCTAAACCCTAAACCCTACCTAGGGTTTACGGCTCAAGTCTTGGAGTTTGGAGTTTGGGGTTCAGCTTTTCGGGTTCGCAGTTGCCCGGGTTGCTCTGCCTGCGAGGTTGGGCTCGAAGTCTTGTATAAAGTTAGGGCCTACCTTAAACCCCAAATAACCTACTTTTCTAAGGACTCGTATAAAGACATCATAAGGTAGGGTTTAGGATTTCTAAACGTCCTCTCAAGACGTGAGGCCCGGAAGCTTACGGTTTAGGGCTTAGGGCTTCAGAGCCCGTAAACCCAGCCCCAAACCCCCCGAAGGCCCTAACAATTGAAAACCTCAAGGTTCCGAACCTCCAGCACAGAGCCTGGTCTTTCAGTAATGTTTGCAGTCGGGGATAGAACCTGAGAACAGATCTTCAACCAACTCCTGCGGCGTTTGCTTTGGAAGGAGGAGTGGTGCAAGAACGCAAAAACGATCCGTTTAGGTCCTCGGGTTTAAGATTTGGGTCTTAGCGCTTGAGGGGTCAAGGTTCCGAGCTTAGGCTGTCGGGCTTCTGATGGTTTGGGGGGGTTTAGGGCTCCCTAAACCCTAAACCCTAAGGGCTTTATGGCTTTAGGGTGTTAGGGTTGACGGTTTAGGTTTTCTGGGCTTCCGACTTCAGCGGAGTTCAGGAGCATATGCTTCAAAAGACTCTGAACCAGAGATTAGTTTTTTGGGAGTTTGGATTGTTGGGCGGTTTAGGGTTTTTAGGGTTTAGGGGTTTAGGGTTTAGGGTTTTGGTGCTTTGTTTGCGAGGGCTTTGAGGCTTAGGACTCTGCGGCTGATTAAGGGCTTTGGAATACCGGTGGCTGCAGACAAAAACAGTCTCTGGAGAACATAGAGCAGAGTACCTGGTCCCCTAAACCCTAAACTCCCCTAAACCCTTAAACCCCCCTAAACCCTAGACCCTATACTCCCCCAAACCCTAAACCCTAGACCCCAAGAACTTGAACTCCAGAGGCGACCTGGTAATGGAGGGGCTCAATAATTACCTATACTATTTTGGGGTGTTCCTTATTATAATTTATAGTATAATGGGCTCCAAAACGCTATTCAAATAATTAAGGCCCCGACATTATGTCCGAAACCGTTGATTCCGATCCCCAAGGCAATGCAAGTCCCAAAGCCAAGCCCGAAAGCTAGTGCTACAGACGCCTAAGTGATCACCAGTACTATTCCTGAAGGTTCCTTCTTGTAGGTATAACTAGAGTATACACCCCCCAACTCCTATTCCAATTATGAAGGCCTCTATAAGGGTTTCGGAGCAAACTGCCAGGAGCGGCAGTATAGCCGTAGACCCCAGTGACGAAATCGTCACGACAAAAGGCGGCAGCCCTAGTTGGCACCGCAGACTGCGCAAGCAGCGCAGCAAGGCCCGTTCCAGGGTCTGGAAATCCAGGCTTGGGGGTCTACACCCTCGTTTGTCCGACCTGGTTTTATTAGCTTCTCACCACTCGCGCCCCTCTCTCCGTGAGCTTATGGGAGGAGGCCGTAAGAAGCAATGGCAGCCAGACGAAGGCAACTGGAG